TCCCTGCCACCCTACGGCGAGTGGCACTTATGAGTAAATACATCCCACTGCTCTCCCTATGAATGAATGCATACCTGATCCATTCTTGATAGCTCCGCAGGCTTGCAGGTTGTATTTATTCTCACTTGTTTTTGAGTCTCTAGCTCCCCTGCTCTTCAATGTGTGTGCTCAAGTGTTGAGCGAGATGCCAGTTCATTTGCTTTTTACTAGGATAGTCATTGTGATTAATGATTCGTGGTTCATTCAGCTGGTTTGGGGTTATATTGTACTTTCCATTTAGTTTTGAGCTGCTGTGTGTGTGTGTGTCCGCATGCGTGCACATTTGTATGCATTCACATTTGTGTGTGTGTGTGCGTTTGCATGTGTTTGTTGCTGTGACTGTGTCTGTGTCTCTTTTACCCAGTGGTCGATAGATCCCCTAGCTCTTTATTTTCATAGCGTACAGTTGAATAACAGGGAACCAACCCACTTAACGCAGACAGACAGAATCCATATTGCCCCAGCTAACCAGCCCAGCAGTAGGGTTACAAACAAACACATTATGTGACTGCTCTAGTCCCCCCCAAGTCATGCTAAAGACCGCATCCATATTGCCCCAGCTAACCAGCCCAGCAGTAGTGTTACTAACACATTCTGTGACCTCTCTAGTTTTCTCCCACCCACAGGCTTTTGTTTTGTTGAGCTGTCCATTCATTTTAGCAATTTTAGCAACAAGTGTCCTCTAGCAAGTAAATGTCCTTTCTCCTTGTCAGAGAACAACCCCCCTCCATTTTTATCTCCACTTACTGACATGGAAAAAGAAGAAAGAGAAAATAATTGAGTCTATTTATCTATATATATATATATTTCCTGATATTTAAGTGGAAACACTTCTTTAAGGCGTGTGTTGCCTTAAAGAAGCCGACACCAAATTTGTCTGTGACATGTTGACTACCTGACCATTGTTTCTATTGGTTATTATAGGACATGACCTCATGTAGCCACGGACAATGACTGGCATTTGACTAGGTATGCTAGTATGGCTTCCTTATTCTCCCAAGAAACACTGAAAACAACACATTCCATGTACTGACCTTTTGTACAATACCGTCGATATGCCAGCCAGACCTGGGTTTGGAATAGCATTTGTTTTCACTGAAATACTTTGAGAATTTGATTGGGCATTGCCTGGAGTGCCAGGTAGGGTAGGGTTTGCACCTTTGGAATTATGCCATTGGTTCCAATGGCTCCATCAAGCCACACAAGCTCAATCAAGGACAGAATGAAAACAAGTACAGCCGTGGTCAAAAGTTTTGAGAATGACACAAATATACATTTTCACAAAGTCTGCTGCCTCAGTTTTTATGATGTCAATTTGCATATACTCCAGAATGTTATGAAGATGAATGATCAGATGAATTGCAATTAATTGCAAAGTCCCTCTTTGCCATGAAAATGAACTTAATCCCAAAAAAATATTTCCACTGCATTTCAGCCCTGCCACAAAAGGACCAGCTGACATCATGTCAGTGATTCTCACGTTAACACAGGTGAGAGTGTTGATGAGGACAAGGCTGGAGATCACTCTGTCATGCTGATTGAGTTAGAATAACAGACTGGAAGCTTTAAAAGGAGGGTGGTGCTTGAAATCATTGTTCTTCCTCTGTAAACCATGGTTACCTGCAAGGAAACACGTGCCGTCATCATTGCTTTGCACAAAAAGGGCTTCACAGGCAATATTGGCAATACAGGATATTGCTGCTAGTAAGATTGCACCTAAATAAACCATTTAACGGATCATCAAGAACTTCAAGGAGAGAGGTTCAATTGTTGTGAAGAAGGCTTCAGGGCGCCCAAGAAAGTCCAGCAAGTGCCAGGACCATCTCCTAAAGTTTATTCAGCTGTGGGATCGGGGCACCACCAGTGCAGAGCTTGCTCAGGAATGGCAGCAGGCAGGTGTGAATGTATCTGCACACATAGTGAGGCAAAGACTTTTGGAGGATGGCCTGCTGTCAAGAAGGGTAGCGAGGAAGCCACTTCTCTCCAGGAAAAACATCAGGGACAGACTGATATTCTGCAAAAGGCACAGGGATTGGACTGCTGAGGACTGGGGTAAAGTCATTTTCTCTGATGAATCCCCTTTCCGATTGTTTGGGGCATCCGGAAAAAAGCTTGTCTGGAGAAGACAAGGTGAGCGCTACCATCAGTCCTGTGTCATGCCAACAGTAAAGCATCCTGAGACCATTCATGTGTGGGGTTGCTTCTCAGCCAAGGGAGTGGGCTCACTCACAATTTTGCCTAAGAACACAGTCATGAATAAAGAATGGTACCAACACATCCTCCGAGAGCAACTTCTCCCAACCATCCAAGAACAGATTGGTGATGAACAATGCCTTTTCCAGCATGATGGAGCACCTTGCCATAAGGCAAAAGTGATAACTAAGTGGCTCGGGGAACAAAACATAGACAGTTTGGGTTCATGGCTAAGAAACTCCCCAATCCTTAATCCCATTGAGAACTTGTGGTCAATCCTCAAGAGGCGGGTGGACAAAAAAACCCCCACAAATTCTGACAAACTCCAAGCATTGATTATGCAAGAATGGGCTGCCATCAGTCAGGATGTGGCCCAGAAGTTAATTGACAGCATGCCAGGGCGGATTGCAGAGGTCTTGAAAAAGAAGGGTCAACACTGCAAATATTGACTCTTTGCATAAACTTTATGTAATTGTCAATAAAAGCCTTTGACACTTATGGAATGCTTGTAATTATACTTCAGTATACCATAGTAACATCTGACAAAAATATCTAAAAACACTGAAGCAGCAGACTTTGTGAAGACCAATACTTGTGTCATTCTCAAAACTTTTGACCATGACTGTACTCTTCCACGTCATGGACATGAGAAATATAAGATTGTCTTGCCTTGTTTCAATTATTGCGCAGGCATCCGTGAACTTGTTTTCCTCCACTTATTTTTGTTATTTTGCTCTCTGCCTGTCTGGGCTCAGTCGTGTGGAGCGCTCTGAACTTTGGTCTTCTGAGCCTCTGAGCTTCTATGAAAATCCCTTCTGTTGAATCATCCACCGTGAGAAGACAGCCGACTCTTTTCCCATGCTCGTCCACCGTCCGCCGTCCACTTGATGCTGTCAGAGAGAGAGAGAGAGACAGACAGAGCAAGGTAGAAAGAGAGAGAGAGAGTTTGTGCGCTACCTGTATCCACAATGCGACAGGACGTGGGAAGATTGCTTTATTCAGGAAATCTACCTATCTTTCTACCTATATGCTTTTGATATTGAACAGTTTTCAGTATTCTTTTTGATTTGACAGTGACATTTGCTCATCCGTCTATTTTGCATTAACACTGATCCAGTAAGTCTTTAGGTGTAGATGTTCCTTGCTGTTATTCCGTTTTTTAACAAGTCCGCTCAACCTTGAACATGACCATATTTTCTTTTGCGATAACAACTCCTACCACCATCTAGTATCCACACAATTGTGCAGCCTAACTACACTATTAAATTATTAAATGCCATTTAGCAGACGCTTTTATCCAAAGCGACTTACAGTCATGCGTGCATACATTGTTTTGTGTATGGGTGGTCCCGGGGATCGAACCCACTACCTTGGCGTTACAAGCGCCGTGCTCTACCAGCTGAGCTACAGAGGACCACGAAGCTAAGGGCTTCGTCCCAAATTGCTCCCTATTTAACCTAACCCAAAGGGCTCTGGTCAAAAGCAGTGCGCTATATAGGGAATATGGTGCCATTTGGGACAAATCCAAGCTCTCTCTTCAGAAGATAAGCCATGTCCTGGGGATTCAAAGGGTAGCTAAGATCAAAGAAGACAAAAGGAGCGGAAGTCTTTTCTCAGCTTTTCCTGCCAGTCTCTCGGTAGGCCGAATGGTCAGCTTCCGTTTCTTTAATCTTAGGGGGCCACGGGTCCTTTTGAGGAGAATAGAGATGTGCAATCATAATAGCAGTCTTTCCGCAGTGGACACACACAGACATACACGCACACACACATGCGTGCGCGATACACATAAAAAGAAGCTCTGTTATTCTCTCCTGCCTGTCGGATTTGACGCCCACCTGGAGCAAAGATCACCCCTTACTATGAAGACAATCGACCCTGAGAAACGTCTTCAGTCTCTGAAATACTTCAGGGACTTTGGTGCTGACTACAGAACACCACCAACTGGTGATAAGAGACTGAAAGCTGGAGTTCACTTCTTCCCATTTCAACCATGCTGTAGTTGTTGATGTGTCTTTCAGAAACTGTGTTTTTGACACCAGTTTCTCCTTGAAGAAAATTAAGGTTTAAATGGCCAGTGTGTGTGGCGTTAAAATTGTATTTTGCTTCGTCTTTGATCAAAGGAACTGGATCTGGAGTGGGTTTTTTTTAAGCAAGAAAGGCATTTTGATATCTAACCACAACTTTGATATACAGTAACATACATTTAGTTTTGAAAAGTGCAAAGAGCAGACACAGAGACAGGGCTTTTTCTCTCTGATGCACTTCTAATGCACATGTTCCCTTAGCCTGGCCTATTCTCTTTGATCACTGTAGCATATAAGTTTACTTATATACACTCCAGCTAGTCAGAGCTCCTACCAGGCTCATTAAAGCACACACACACACACACACACACACACACACACACACACACACACACACACACACACACACACACACACACACACACACACACACACCACACACACACACACTCATTAAAGCCAATTAAAGCCTAGGTGATGTGGAAGTAGGAAACCGCAGGCTAAAGCTTAATTTCCCTTCTCCAAATGAAGGAGAGACACCTCTCTCTGCTCTCCACAGAAAAATAACTGCAGAGTGCACTTTACAGGCTAATTAGCTCCATTTGTCTGGCTGATAGTGTGGCAGGAGAATTTGCCTCTTTATCAGCAGACGCCACACAGTGTCCAGACAGCTCGCCTCACTGGGTTGAACGAGAATTGAACTAATGTTATCTCATACCCCCGACCTCCCTCCCTCACCTCCAGGTGGTCAAGATGATGATCATTGTGGTGGTGACCTTCGCCCTCTGCTGGCTGCCGTACCACGTCTACTTCATCGTGACAGGCCTCAACAAGGCTCTGATGAGGTGGAAGTCCATTCAGCAGTTCTACCTGTCAGTGCTGTGGTTGGCCATGAGCTCCACCATGTACAACCCCATCATATACTGCTGCCTCAACAGCAGGTAAGGAGAATATACACATGTGCACTCAGACACACAGGCAGACAGGCAGGCAAGCAGAAATGGGAGCAGGCACAGGCATGCACAGGCGGAGGCACATATAGTACCAGTCAAGTTTGTACACACCTACTCATTCAAGGATTGTTCTTTATTTTTTACTATTTTTTACTATTTTCTATATTGTAGAATAATAGTGAAGACATCAAAACTATGAAATAACACATATGGAATCATGTAGTAACCAAAAAACAAATCAAAATATATTTTATATTTGAGATTCTTCAAAGTAGCCACCCTTTGCCTTGATGACAGCTTTGCACACTCTTGGCATTCTCTCAACCTGCTTCACCTGGAATGCTTTTCCAACAGTCTTAAAGTAGTTCCAACATATGCTGAGCTGCTTTTCCTTCACTCTTCAGTCAGACTCATCCCAAACCATCTCAATTGGATTGAGGTTGGGGGATTGTGGAGGCCAGGTCATCTGATGCAGCACTCCATCACTCTCCTTCTTGGTAAAATAGCCCTTACACAGCCTGGAGGGGTGATGGGTCATTGTCCTGTTGAAAAACAAATGATAGTCCCACTAAGCCCAAACCAGATGGGATGGCGTATCGCTGCAGAATGCTGTGGTAGCCATGCTGGTTATGTGTGCCTTGAATTCTAAACAAATCACAGACAGTGTCACCAGCAAGGCACTCCCACACCATAACACCTCCTCCTCCATGCTTTACGGTGGGAAATACATATGTGGAGGTCATTTGTTCACCCACACCGCGTCTCACAAAGACACGCGGCTGGAACCAAAATTCTCAAATTTGGACTCCAGACCAAAGGACACATTTCCACCGGTCTAATGTCCATTGCTCGTGTTTCTTGGCCCATCCAAGTCTCTTCTTCTTATTGGTGTCCTTTAGTAGTGGTTTCTTTGCAGCAATTCGACCATGAAAGCATGATTCACACAGTCTCCTCTGAACAGTTGGTGTTGAGATGTGTCAGTTATTTGAACTCTGTGAAGCATTTATTTGGGCTGCAATTTCTGAGGCTGGTAACTCTAATAAACTTATCCTCTGCAGCAGAGGTAACTCTGGGTCTTCCATTCCTGTGGCGGTCCTCATGAGAGCCAGTTTCATTATAGCGCTTGATGGTTTTTGCGACTGCACTTGAAGAAACGTTCAAGTTCTTGACATTTTTCAGATTGACTGACCTTCATGTCTTAAAGTAATTATGGACTGTCGTTTCTCTTTGCTTATTTGAGCTGTTCTTGCCATAATATGGACTTGGTCTTTTACCAAATAGGGCTATCTTCTGTATACCCCCCCTACCTTGTCACAACACAACTGATTGGCTCAAACGCATTAAGAAGGAAAGAAATTCCACAAATTAACTTTTAGGAAGGCACTCCTGTTAATTGAAATGCATTCCAGGTGACTAGCTCATGAAGCTGGTTGAGAAAATGCCAAGAGTGTGCAAAGCTGTCATCAAGGCAAAGGGTGGCTACTTTGAAGAATCTCAAATATAAAATATATTTTGATTTGTTTAACACTTTTTTTGGTTACTACATGATTCCATATGTTTTATTTCATAGTTTTGATGTCTTCACTATTATTCTACGATGTGTCCAAACTTTTGACTGGTAGTGTACACACACATGTGCGTGCACAGTTAGGCACACGTGCACGCAGGCACACACACACACAAACACACATACACACACATACCCATGTAGCTATATTTTCATGGTCGATAGTTGAAAAGTGCATGGAAATTATATTTATGCTGTTGGCCTGCCTCTGTATAGGTTCATAAAAATCCTTGAAGAACATTCTTGTCCCATTGTAACTAATGTGCATAAGGGTCTCAAAGCTTATGTCCTATTTGAATATCGTGTAATCCTCTGAACAGAGCACAAGAGGGATGTGCTTCAACAAAGGTCCAGGCTATGGCAACCCTGATAACATGTCCTTATGTGATTTTCATGCCCTCATGAAAATGCAGACAAAATACCATATTAGGTATTTTAGGACTAAGGATTGAAAGTAAAGCTACTTCAAGGAAATCATTGAGAAATGCTGAAGAGACCTGGAAATTAAAGCATGATTTAAATTGGTTACCATTGTATGCTTTTGAACATGTTCTTTAAACCACTCAGTGCTTATGTGGGTAGTTCGGTACCTGTGTGACTCATTCTTTCTGCAAACAGGAACAATGCAGGTACAGAACCTGGAGGTATGACGTCAGGTGTAGGCCTATAAGACCCTCTCAGCTTCACTGCGTGTACACACACACGCACATTCACATGCACACACGCACACACGTAGCTGTATTTCTATGGTTGATTAATCCTAATGGCATGAAAAGAACATGGCAAGCTTTATGCCTTAGTCTTTCCTTTGCCCGGCCTCGGAAATCTCATATCCATATTAAACACAGAGCGAGACCTCCTTGAAGAAGCTTCAGCGCTCTGAATCTGTAGTCTGAGCGTTGATGAATGCTAGCTTGTGAATGAAGCGCCCCAGTGCACTTAGGTACACGCAGGCAATTATCTAAAGCACATAGCACTCTTACCATCAACACAATCAGACTATTCAGGAAGGATGTGCTGTGTGGTTAAATTATTATTGGCCATTATAAGGAAGCCTTGTCCTAGGCTTCTGACCTATGGGCCATTTTGGCTATCTCCTGTTTCAGTAGTGTGAGGCAGCTTGAAGTACACCCCTGGACAGGACTCTATCCTCATATACATTTATATATTTTTTATTGTATGTATTTATTTATGTACAGTTTTAAGTATGTATTTGTTGTTTATTATCTGGGTCATTAGCTGACTGTAAATTGATGGAGAACGCAGGGCTGTGTATGTTGCAGTCGATTAGATTTAGTTTCCTGTTTAATTGTTTATCTGTGTGCTTTCGGTTGATGTTTTATGTCATTATACAACTCTCCAACCTCAGTGCACTGTATAAATTGGTATGTAATTTGTTTACTCCTGTCTTATGAAAATCAGATCATCATATGAAAACCTGGATTGTGTTTTGAAACGTAATGACACAGGTACTGTGCTACTTGAACTCGTCCAATAAGAACACAGATTTTCATTTTCCATTGCAAAACATTTCACAACAGCGTGCTCTTGAACACTATCCCGTTCGCAAAATCACGTGAGTCATTCTCGACCCATCTCTCCCCCCACCACACCTCCACACCCCCGCCCCCCTCTCTATTCGCCCCTACTTCCCCCCAGGTTCCGGGCCGGCTTCAAGAGGGCGTTCCGCTGGTGCCCCTTCATCCAGGTGTCCAGCTATGATGAGCTGGAGCTGAGAGCCACACGCCTCCACCCGGCCCGCCAGAGCAGCATGTACACCCTGTCCCGCATGGATACCTCCATGGTAGTGGTTTACGACCCTGTAGACGGAGCGAACAACCAGAACCAGGCCAGGAAGAAGAGCTACATCAACCCTAGAGTGGAAAACGGGCTTGGTTGCAATGGGAACGGGGCCAAGACTAAGGCAGGCTGCGCCCCCAACGCTGAGGCTGAGGACTTCTCCTAAAGGAGGGCATTCGGGGAAGCAGACACACACTGTCAGGCACTTGCAAACACACAGGCATGTGTTCAAACACACAGGCATGTATAGAGTGGTAACATATACTGTGTACAGTACATGCAAAGACAGGTACACAATGTCACAGTCAATACACACACGCAAACAAACACACTTTTCAAAGAGTTCAGAGAAAACACATTTTAGATGAGAAGCAGGAATTAATTGTCAAATTTAACCATATTGTACGCTCTTTAATACTGTGAAAATCACTGGAGTGTACTGTATAGAAAAACATGCATAAGAAAAAAGATATACAAAAAATGCCTGGCCAAGTAACATCATGAATGCAAAGGCTGCTGAGTGTACAAAACATTATGAACACCTGCTCTTTCCACGATATAGACTGACCAGGTGAATCCAGTTGAAAGCTATTATCCCTTATTAATGTCACTTGTTAAATCCACTTCAATCAGTGTAGATTAAGGGGAGGAGGTTAAAGAAGGATTCTTAAGCCTTGAGACAATTGAGACATGGATTGTGTGTGTGCCATTCAGAGGGTGAATGGGCAAGACAAAAGATTTAAGTGCCTTTGAACGGGGTATGGTAGTAGGTGCCAGGCTCACTGGTTTGTGTCAAGAACTGCAACGCTGCTGGGTTTTTCACACAACAGTTTCCCGTGTGAATCAAGAATGGTCCACCACCCAAAGGACATCCAGCCAACTTGACACTACTGTGGGAAGCATTGGAGTCAACATGGGCCAGCATCCCTGTAGAATGAATTCAACACCTTGTAGAGTCCATGCCCCGATGAATTGAGGCAACTCCATATTAGGAAAGTGTTCTTAATGTTTTGTACACTCAGCTCCAAAGGTAATGGGACAGTGACATTTGTTGTTGTTTTGGCTCTGCACACCATCACTTTGGATTTTAAATTATATGAGGTTAAAGTGCGGACTGTCAGCTTTAATTTGAAGGTATTTTAATCAATTTTGGGTGAACCGTTTAGAAATTACAGCACTGTTTGAATACGCACAAATATCATGCCCCTCAAAAATGCTAACCTCCCATGTTATTGTAAAGGTGAGAGGCTAGCATGTCTTGGGGGTATGATATTTGTGCGTCTGTAACTTTCTCACTCATCATTATTCACGATTCATTCAGGATTATCCATAATCATGGTAGCATCCACATTAATGTAGAAATGTTTAGAAACCTATTCTTATTTACGATAGTGACAAAAAAATTACACAATACATTACATTGGCCACAAGATAATCTGAAACACAACCAAAACACAACCAAAACAGTCTGTCTATAGAGCTGCTGCCTATGCTGTCTGACGATATCACTATTTTGTAGTTCTTCAAAGTAAATAAGGCATACTTTTATGACTGCTGAATACCAACTATCAATCACTTAGATCATGTATTTTCAGGTAGCGATACCTCCGAAGCAACAGCTGCTCTCCATATCCCCTCATGACTGCACGTTCTTCTCTGTCTTCCATAGCAGGTGTAGAAGAAACACAGACCGGACAAGTAAATGCGCAATGGATTATGGTCATTGTAGTTAATTACCACGTTTTATGCACTAAACTATGTAGGATATAGTGGCATGTTGGAAACTACAACTCCCTACTATATCGCATAGTTCAGGCTGGATCTGATTTATCTCTAGAGAAACTGTGCAATGTGCTCACAGAAACCCCCCTAAATAAATGGAATTCAAATAATTGAACTGACTTTGGTCAATTAGTTGTTTAAGAAACCGAAAAATAAGCAACATTTCAGATAATTGCTCAGCACTACAAATACTAAACTTTTGACTGCCTTAACACGCATATAAGTGAATTTGTCCCAATACTTTTGGTCTCCTAAAATGGGGGGACTTGTACAAAAAGTGGTGTAATTTCTAAACGGATCAAATCAAACTTTATTTGTCACATGCGCCGAATACAACAGGTTTATCGTGAAATGCAACAGGTTTATCACCTTATCGTGAAATGCTTACTTACAAGCCCTTAACCAACAATGCAGTTCAAGAAAGAGTTAAAAAAAGATTTACCAAATAAACTAAAGTAAAAAATAGTAAAAAGTAACACAATAAAATAACAATAATGAGGCTATATACAGGGGGTACCGGTACCGAGTCAGTGTCCGGGGGTACAGGTTAGTTGAGGTAATTTGTACATGTAGGTAGGGGTAAAGTGACTTTACATAGATAATAGACAGCATGAAGCCATTTGATTAATTGTTCAGCAGTCTTATGGCTTGGGGGTAGAAGCTGTTAAGGAGCCTTTTGGTCCTAGACTTGGCGCTCCGGTACCGCTTGCCGTGCGGTAGCAGAGAGAATAGTCTATGACTTGAGTCTTTGACAATTTTTTGGGCTTTCACCTGAATTTAAAGCTGACAGTCTGCACTTTAACGGCATAGTCATTGTATCATTTCAAATCTAAAAATGTGTCACTGTCCCAATACTTCTGGAGCTCACTGTATATAACACATTGTATATTATGAAATACTGTATTATGATACATTTGAAACAGTGTTCATGTGAAGAGCTACAACAGCGACAGCATACGAAGTCATCAATGTATTGTTTACGCTATAACGTTGGCCAGTACTCCATTTACAATGATGTGCTGGGGTGAATCCGGCATAATGTCTGGCTGATGACGGTTCTTCTGTATGCATGGTCCTCATTGAGCTGAATGATCGTTTCTCATCACACGCGCTAACATGCACGCATGTGCACGCACACACACACACAGCACTGTGGGAGATTTACAATGAAAAGGTCTTGGAGGGGCTCCTAAAATATACATGGACACCTATGAGTACACCTAAACCCTCCTCCACTGAAAAAGAGAACATTCCCTCCTTTGATATTTTGTTTACGGAGCTATGATTAGAACATTGGCATTATGCTGGGAGACATGGCTTGCCATGTTAGTTTATGGGTCATACTATTGTAAACTGTATAGGCTAGGCTACTGTGTGCCAGATCTCCATCATCATGTGACGCTCTAACATCAGCACATTTGATTGACCTGTGTTTTAGATACCATAGAGAATACATTTTCTGGAGCGACCTACTGTATATCTTTAGGCAGTGTGCCCATAGTTACCATTTGTAGCAGTGGGTTTTAGCTGTAGTCTTACGTAATGTATAGAATGACTAGTCCCAGTTTAAAGAAACTACAACTTATAAAGGCTTCATATGGCATACATATTGTCTTCATAAGCACTACATAGATTCTACATAGTCTTACGTCATGTAGTTACATCATGTATAGAATTACCAAAGTATCCTCCGTTATGTCCCAATTGTAACCTCTATAGCCACTTAGTGATTTCCAATGGAAAACACTGTTGATTAAACTCGCCAGTAAGAAATAGCTTTGTTAATTGAGTTTGGGTGGCATGCCATCGCTGCAGTGAATCTGGGCTCCAGAGAAGTGTGGTTTGGTTACCTAATGGTCCCTCATCTTTTTTCCAATAGTCCCGTGTGTGTGCGTGTCCTTGTGTGTGAGTGCACGTGAGAGTGCGCGTTTGTGTGTGTGTGTTAGGTGATCGTGTGCATGTACATAGTTTTCCCCCCATAGTCATACATGGTCAACATTAGGTCACCATTGGCAAAAAAAGCAAATTAACGATTACACAAATTTGCACATAAATAACTAGCTAATTGTTTATTGAAAGCGCCGTCATTGATCTGAATCCGAATGCTTAGTACAGCGTAAATAGATGCCTATTTGTTACTGCTAATGTTTTAAAGCAGTGTAAATGTTTTTACATGTTTGGGTAGCTTTGTAGTTGATGCATGCTTTCAAATAAGAAAACAAGTGCAGGGAAAACGGATGTGGAATGGAATGAAAATAGCAGATTACATTTGCTAGTTTCTTTTTAGCTGGCCACCTACTTTTATTTTGCCTTCATATTCCCGTTGAGAAGTGCGTCATCTCCTGCATTGTACTTACATATAGTACTGTAGCTTTGAAATAAATGCCCACAATGAGGTGTTTATACAATCACAGTGCGTGTGTGTGCTTGTGCGTGAGTGTGCCCACGGAGCAGAGTTTTCATGATCACAGTGTGTGTGTGTGCGTCCACAGTGCAGTGTTTATATGACCACAGTGTTTAGAATCTGGATGTCAGGGAAACCCTTGGGCCATCAATTAGATAGGTGCCATACTGAAAGAGGGTTGCCATCCCATCAGACTTCCAGTAAGGGGTGGTATTTCTCCCCTGGGTGTGCGTCTGTGTGTCTGTGTGCTTGCGTGCATGTGTGCGTGTACTATATACTGTGTGTGTGTGCGTGTGTGTGTGGAATCCTCCAGGGTTGAAATCAAGTGCTGGCACTAGCACCAGGCGTCTCTACAGCCTTTGTCTTATTTGTTTTAGGGTATTTCTTCCCCTGACCAATGAGAGTGAGCCTTGTTATACCCAACAGCCCAGTGCAGTATAATGACATTACATGCCATAGCTCAGGTTCCACGGCTGTCTGATAGGGGTCTCTAGGGAGTCTCCTGCCAACTCCCTCAGGGGGCAAAGATAATTCAAAACCTGAGGCACTAGTCTCACCTTGGGCCCCCAAGGCCCTTGTAGCCAGTGAATTGTTGTATTTTGTCACAGTTTGAATTGAAGTGTAATGGATTTTTTTCCAGATGACAGACTACCCACCTGTGGCCCTCAGCTTGACTTAAAGACAACATGAAAATAACAGCTCTGTGAAAAATAAAAACACAGCCTTCCTTTTGCCGGTGGTAAGGTAACAAACTAAACACAACAAGTCACATTTGATAGCGTTCATATATTAGTGGGGTTGCATCGCTGTGACAGGTTGCATCACAAGTGATGGAATGTAGTTATTTAGTTTAATACTTGAGCATGATGTCTAATTTTTAAGCAGTGCATTTGTTCAATAAAATGTGAGGATTGGAATGATTACAGCCAATGCTATAGTGATATAGCAATATAGGCAGGAATTTGGCATGAAGTTGTAAA